CTCACACTACTTGCCCTTGTTCTGCCTGCCTTCGTGGAGGACTTCCCGGTTGACAGGCATTGTCATGGCAACCCACTTCAACACTATGTTCAAAAGGCACCCCCAGGTCCTCCTGGCCTGTCAGTTTCTAAGAGCACCTCCTCCTCACATTGTTGTGATGAGGTGATATATTTGCAGGAAGAGGTTAACTGGAGGGGAATGCAAATAATTCATCACCTTCACCTCCCAAAACGCTGCTCCATGACTCCCTGATGTCCAGTCCTAACTTTAACTCCCTTATGCCTCACTCTCCTTTTGTAGACATGTCTTTGTGTGTTAAAGGTGTGGGTGTGTGCAGCCAAAGACCAGGTCTCTGCCCGGCCAAAAGCTTGATAGGAGAAAAAGAGACCCTTCTGTTCCTGCTGTATTCCTGGAAAGGTTTCAAGGTGATTACTCTATCCCACATAGTCAGGCACTGAAAGCACAAGTCCTAGAGACTTGTTTCCCATGATCACGCAAACACACACTCAAACACACAGCAGCTGTAATTTTGGATGCCAAAGTTGAGAAAATAGCTTGGAGCCCTGATAGATGTTATTTGCCATGGCAGAGGCAAATTATTCAAAGCAGGAGAAGTGTTCTGTGCACAGATAAGTCAGTCAAATTTCAGCACCATTCCCAGATTGTAACAGCATATCACCAAACAACAGCCGAAAAAAAGAACAAACTGCTGCTTTTGCTCTCAGTTCCAGTGCAGTTAAAAACCAGGATTTCCAGTTTGCCTACAGTTTTTGCCAATCGAGACAAAGCTTGAAATTAAACTAGTTTTGACTCTGATTCTGCAGCTGCAGATGAAATACATTTTCCCCCTTAACTTAGGTGAAGATGGATTCTGTGCTTTTGTGAAGGGGAAAGAAGGACATTTAGCAAGATAGCATTGTCTGACGTACTTAACATATTGGAAAGTTGACCAGTGCTCATAGGGTATAACACCAGATTTATTTTTTTATTACAAATTTAAAAACTATTTCAATGTTCAATTTGTTTGCAAGTTTTTAAAAATTATTCAACTAATATAACATCTGCATTCAATATTTTTTTTAAACTAACAATAGAGCAGACTGCCCTTCTGGCTGAAATGCATGGGCATATTTTCAATCACTCTAGCCTTCTACCAAAAAAGACTTTTGCCTCAGACCTCTTCTCAGATCTTTTATATAGAATCTACTCTGCTAACAAAAAATAAACTAATTTCCTTATGCCATGAAAGTGTTTAGTTAGAAAACAGAAAGCATTTTTGATTGTTTTCCTCCTTTTTATTTTGCTATTTTAAATTAAAATCCTTCCTAAACTTTGTTCACCCGTATTATCCATGGCTGCAGAAAAAAATTAATGGTCAAATACAAAAATACTGTGTTGATTTCAGGAGAGTTTAGCAACCAAAATGTTGGTTATTTTAAAAAAAAAAAGAAGGATTTCTGCATCAGCTGGTAGATTGACTTATTAATAGCCAAGTCTTGATATTTTGGCCAATGATGGATGCGCCTGTGCTACAGACTTAATACATAATTTCAGTCTATAACAGAGGAAAAAGGTGAGAAAAGAAATGCAGACACTTTACAGTCAGGAAGACAATATTTGCTTGTGTTAATGCAGTATGCGTTCCGAATGCAGTCATTGCCTAAGTACTGAGAAATCACTTGACTATTTCAAGCGTAACTCACCCCATGTAAAACATAGCACCACCTCCAGCCACATTTAGAAAAATGCCACTGAAATGGTCGGTGGCAAGACATTTTGATTTGGTGGCAGGGCTAAGTGTTAAGTAAAGGTGTGGTCAAGAAAAGAAAGTTAGGATAGCCTGGGTTGGCTTAGCATGGCTGAAGCATGAAGAATGAATGAAAATGAGACTGCTAGTTACGCTAAGGATATCTTTCTAGAGTTTTTGGGAAGCCCAACAGGCTCACGCCATATCAGCTCAAGCAGCTGACTCAAGAGGCTGACAGCAATGTCACAAAACCAGTGCTGCCAAGGAAGAGGAGGACGGCATGACTTACAATGAGGGTGGCAGCTTTAAGGTTGGCTTATGCTTCACACACTTACGGGCAACTAATTTTCTGCATAGAAAATGAGCCACCCGTTACAGCGTCTGCGATATTTTATACTCCTCCAGCTCCAGGGAGGCGTGTTCAGCACAAACAGTAATCATCCAAGAGTGACAATCCAGGAATTTTCCCACAATCTGTTGATATTGGTGGTATTTATGAGCTCAATTCAAGGATGTAATAAAATGTTTACATTTGCAAACCCTTGATGATAGGAGCTGTTGCTCCCTCACCATGTTTTTCCATGCTGAGCTAATTAAAACATGACTTCAAAAAATCCTGTCTGCACAGACACCCTGCTGAGTATATAATATCGCTTGCATCAAGCATACACCAAGCTTTAGAGGGTCTGCTTTATACCTGAATACAGGGTTATGATGATGAAAGCATGTCATATTTGAACCAATAGAGAAATTCTAATTGCCCCAGTTCAACCCAATGAGGGGCAGCACTAACACAGTGCTTTTTAGGACAGAAAATAAAAAAAAAATATATAAAAGAATTGTATGGTAACATTGAAAGAGCACCCATTTTGGCCCTATATATGCAGTTTATCTGTAAAAAAAAAAAAAAAAAAAAAGTTTTTTATAAGGTGAGTTACAGTTTAGGGTCAAATTAATCTACAAATGGTGGAGATTCAATAAGAACAATTAAATAGATAAATTACTACAGCAGAATAAACATCATCATGCCAGTTAAAAGTGTCTTCATCACCAGTAGTTTTACCTTCGCCATCCTCAACTGTATCCATCATGGCTGAAGACCCCTCAGGCTTTTACTGATATATGATTTAAAATCTATTAACTCAAAAGGGAAGCCAGAACATTTTAATATCAATTGAGGAATTCGAAGCCATGGGAAACAATCTAATGTCCCCAGCTAACTATGTTCTATGTTGTATGTTTTGGTACAAACTTAATTTAACTGATTAATTTATTGCGTGATCTTTGCACCTAAACTCTGCTGCTGCTGTTTTAGTAAAAATACTGTTCTCAGCTTGGTTATTGAATGAATGAATGAATGAATGAACAAAGGAACGAGTGAAAGGACGAACAAACAAACGAATGAATGAAAGAACGGATGAAAAAAGAATGAATAAATGAATTAACAAACTATACAATGAAAGAAAGAATGAATAAACGAATTAAAGAATGAATGAAAGAACGAGTGAATGAACGAACAAATGAACAAACAAACGAATAAATTAATGAACTAAAAAACGAATAAACAAATGAATGAACAAATCAAAGAATGAACAAATGAACTAGTGAACGAACAAACAAATGAATGAATAAACAAACAAATTAATTAATTATCTAACACAAGCATGAATGAACAAACAAACAAAAGAAAAAACAAGCATATGAATGAATGAATGAATGAATGAATGAATGAATGAATGAATGAATGAATGAATGAATGAATGAATGAATGAAGTTATTAATTCCTTATGGTGTTTTCTACTGTGCATCTTGGCATGTTATTCATCCAACCAGAGCAGAGTCAGGAGGATTTTTCTCTCTTTAAAAGGGTTGAATTGATTGACATCCTGAGGAGGTAATTCATGCTTTATTACCCAGCTGGGCTTCTACTGTCTGTGTGTGTCTGGTCATGGAAAAATTATCCTCCAGATACCATATGTAATCTATTTGTTATACCTTCATTATACCATCTAGTTTCCCTTTTAAACTAAGAGACTGATCTTGTTAATAATTCAGTGTTGTGGCTCAGTAGAGCAAAGCCAGGGGCAGATATCCATTTACTGTGCCTCTGCTGTTCATAGGGCTGTTTTTTTCCAACCTCTTTGGCTCCTGAACATGTTGGGCACCCTGAGTAATAAAGGCTCCAAAGAGGAAGGTCACTCTATGAAGTGCATACAGCTGAGCAGACTTTCACCCTGTAGTGACTGCATTTAACAACCTGTCGCTCTGCAACTAAATAAGTCATCAAGCAGGAAGACATTGGGAAGTTTTGTTCGACGAATGCTTGTTCACACAGTCTGTTTGCTAAACAAATAGCTCCATTTTCTACTTAGCAAACAGAGGCGAGTTAGACAGGAAGGAACATGGTTCTGTATGGTTCTGTATCTGGAGCTTCAGGTGATGGATGGATTCCAGCAGACCTTTGCTGCGCCATAAAGACCAACTGTCCTATAACCCAATGCCAGCACGCTGCCGAGTCTCATTAAAAGGCTAACAGCAGATTCCAGTGAGCAAACAAACCATGACATAAACTGGTTATGTAATCGAAACCTACATCACTTGCTGATTATGTCCCCGGGCTTTTGCTTTGTTTGTTTTCTATTATTTATGCCATCAGGTTCTCTGAGACAAGAGGCAACAAGCCTGCAGAAATCACTGGAGGAACCTTTCATTAAACACAGATATATTGTCATGGAAGAAAAAAAGAAAAGAAACTGTAGGCATCATGCAGAACACCAAACATCCAGGTTTGTTTTGGTAGAAAAGAGCAATTCTGAATCATAATCATCATAAGTTAATTCAGAAATAAATTCTGACATTCCTCAATGCTTGTTTTTAGATGATAAGTTTGGACACATCTGACAGGTCCAACCTGACACAGGTAAATACTGATACAGCACACATGACTGAAGAAAAGTTGCTGAACAACACTGTGACAATAAATGAGAAAACATTTGAACAGTCATTCAGTTGTAGCCTTGTTGCTGAGCTCTATCTGTCATTTAGAAAAGTTCCCATTAGTATGAAAATATTATTTCCTTCCCAGTCAGTCTAAACCTGGCTGCTCTGTTAGTAAAGCAGTTATACGGTACTTACAGACGAGTGCCAGTGATGTCTCCACAGTTCTGCAGACGAGAGGAAGTGAATGAAAAGGAAGGAGTGAACGTTACTAACACTCCTCTCCCTGTCTCTCCCTCCCTCTTTTTTCTTTCAGAGGACAACAGAGTGGATTTAATCTGCCTGAATGATTCAAACTGGGCTTGGAGCGTATGACTGGCTGTCCGTGGGCATGCACATGTACAGTACGTGTATAGGCGCCTGTGTTTATCATGTGTGAGCTTGTACTTTAAAGCTCATCAGGGAGAAAGCAATAGTTTCAGTAATAGTTTCCATCCACAGCTGGAAATAATAGAGATTCCCATCCAGGCACAGGCTGCACTGGAACCACCCTCCAATGTTTCACATGCAGCTGAAAGGGGGGGGGGGGGGGGGATCCTTTTCTATGGCCATCCCAGGACTAAATGATACACATGTTATATTAACCCCAAATGGCCATGTAGGTTTGGATTTTTCTCTCTCCGTTAATCATAAAAACCTTAACCTTTGACAAAGAATAAATGGGTTTGATCTTCCAAAACATTTTAAAAAACATGAAAAAAAAATTGAAATTAGGAAGGGAGAAAAATTTTTTTCCCACCAGTGTTTGCTGCCAAATTCAGTTAATAAAACCAATTGGAAGAAGGCAGCCAAGCAGATATTCAATGACAATAAGCATTCAGTCATTCACTTTACAGCAATCCCTCCTCCTAACCAAGTATATAATAACAGCAGAAAGGGACGTGTCCTTTTTAACAGAAATAAAACTCCAGTAAATGAGGAAAAGGAGTCAATGGCAGCTTTTGCTTTACTATTGGATTTTTCTTGAAGGGTAACTATAAAACACTTAGCCGGTGGCACCATTAATGAGATACAAAACAGAAATAAATTGATCCATATACTGTAAATTAGAGATAAACATTAACATTACTGTGTTCATAATGGCAAACATTTTATAACAGCTGTACAACATGACATACACTGTTTCTGGTTCATTTTGTTGTTTTCAAAAAGAATGAGAAAAATCAAAAAAAAATTTAAGCTAAACTCAGATCTTCAAGTTTGAAAATAAGCAGGACACTCTGCTGATGTCTAAACCAGAGGGCTTCAACATTTTCTAGGCCAAAAACCCCCAAACTGATGGCGAGATGGAGCAGGGACCCATATTGTATGAAATTGTGTTATATCAAACTTGTCCTATTGTTACTCTATCACAGACGGTGTCGTGTAATGAAAGTAATTTCCTCCTCGGATTATTAAAATATTTCTGATTCTGATTCCTGGTTAATGGGACAGGTGTTGTGAATGAAACGGTTCCCAGCTTGAAAGATCTCCTGTGTATCGCCGAATGTGTGCATTGATGACTGGAAGACACCTTCTGTCTCCATTTATCTGTTTACTACAGTGTGTTGAATTCATGTTAATGTGTATTTAAAGACATTAAAATTAAGGGGGGAGAATATAAAGAAATTTTTTATAAACCAAAACTTTCACAACCCCCATGCATTACCTCCGTGAACCCCCTGGGGGTCACGGACCCCCTGTTGAAGACCTCCGGTCTAGACGACAAGTAAAACATCCAGCAGGCTTTTACCTCACTAAGCAGCCTCCCAAGAGTAAAACTAAATACGTCATTATTTTCTTAAAAAGCTAATAGCAGGTGGCCCACCTACCAAAGACAACAGGTAAGCAAAAATGTACCTTCCAGATCCAGGTTCTCACTTCTGAGGTAAATTGACCAGCTTTTGTTCTTTGTTTGCCATTGTTAACTTATGTTGAGGTTTTTTTGAAATATGATGCACTGTGCTCCATATTTTAACTGGCTGAAGCTGACATCAGTGTGTTTAAATGCTTTGTGCTGCTTGTGCATCACAGTTTGTCTGTCATCAGTTCATCTGCTTTGGGTTTGCTTTGTAAATAGTACAGATTACAACTTAAGATTGCTACATAAACCACAGTTTGAGAACCATGGGGGGAAATCTGATGTCCTTTGATTCTTCCACCTTTGATTGTTTCTCTGAATGTTTATGAAATTATTTCTCACTAAGCTTTGAAATACAAGTGTTAGGAAACCAAAAAAATGCAATATACACAGTGCAAGTCATTACTTACCCAATCACAGCAAAACAAAACAGTTGAGCCAAAAGTAGAGTGACAATCCTGCTGATACAATCAAATGGTTTAGGGAAATGAGAACTTGGTGTCCAAGAAGTTTATTTCTGAATTCCCACAGCTAGGATTTCTTCACAAGGGGATTGGAAGTAGGAGGACTCTTTAATCCAAGATAAATGTTTAACAGGTAGACTGTGTGATCAGAGACTAAAGGGCACTTTTCTGTCCATTATCCTGGAGCTCATTCAAATGATCAACAACTCAAGGTTAAACATAAATCATTCCAATTACAGCATTTAGAAAAGTAGTATATACATATTCAATGAGAGATACTTGTACATGTATTTCCCCCTGTTACTAACATAAGCTTCTGAAAAGCATGGAAACACATCATGTTTAAAAAATATTTAAACTTCTTTCTTAAGCTGGAACTTTGGCATCAGTACTACACTGCCTCTCAGTGGTTGCAAAGTGAATTGCAGGGCTTCTGATTTTCTTTGCTTTGTTTTCAAAGGCAAAGATAGATGTCGCCAGAGTCAAAGCTTCTTTATCAGTTGGTGGCTAAATGAATCGCAGAGATTAAATAGAAATCTGAATTAAAACTACAGTTAGACATATTTAATATAAATACAACATATGCATTGTTTATAGACCATAAATTTATGATCAAATCAGCTGGGTTAAGGTTTGAAAATTGTAGATTTTGCCAAGCTGCTGTTTTCAAACACACAGTCTTAAATATTTAGAGTTAATTCAGTGACTTCTGGGTGCCCACGTTCAGGGTCTCCAAAACAAGCCCCTATCATGTCTGTCATGTATGACAGTTGGTATGAGATGTTTTATGTTGGTTTGTTATGTTTAGTCTAAAAAAAATCTCGAAATTCCTCAACTTTGGTGGATACAAAAAAAGAAAAGAAAACATATTTCCCAAAAAGTTGAACACATGGAGTTGCTGCTTGTTTTTAAGAGAAAGATTTGCCTATTAAGTTGTTTTTTTCTAACAATTTTTTTAACAGGTTGAAATTGTACGAAAATTATAAACTTAATTATAAACTTATAAATATATGCATTAACAACATGAACAAATATATGTTTAATGTCCTAATTATTGTAGGATAGATAAACAGTAAACCTGTCCCCAGAGATTTAAATTTAAAAAAAGAACATAGTATGTAGCAGGCAGTCAGATTTCTGCTCATTTTGGGACGATGTTTGCATCATATGTTCATGTATCAGATTTGGGTCATTGTCTATGTTGGAAAGGTGTTAATGGCAGCTAAATATAAAAGGTCTGACATGAAAACTTTTTTCTGGATAAAAGGTAAAATTTATGTATTTTAGTAAAACCTCCACAAACTAAAAGTGTAAATGCATTTATTTCACACATTCAATACAGGGAAAAACAGGTAAAAACATCGAGCTAGAAATCCATGCTCCTGAAAAATTCCCGCTCCTGAATGTCTTTTTTCCATGGGCACAGTTTACAAAATTAAGCAGATAATATTTCCTATAATACAAAAGCATTCTCAGGTAAAAGAGTTTGAAAAAGCAAATAATATATGTTTTTCGAACAGTATTGCAAATTCCCTTCAGTGCAAATAAGACAGAACATGTCTTCATCGTTATTACAAAGGGTTAATTTTATTAGATAAACTGACTTTCTATTTCATTACCTACAACAAAACCTCAGTATCCCAGAATTCTTCAAACATTTTTAATTAACTTTCTGATTTCATTTGCAGAATTATTAGTCTGCTCTAATTTTATAATAAAAAAAATCAGCTTCATTCAACAGCAACTACATGTGACCCCCCTGCCTCCCCCTTCCCCCCTTGTCCCTCAAGGCTCAGTTCTTGGCCCCCTCCTCTATATCACCTACCTCTTTCCCCTTGGCAGTATTTTGCACAAATTTACCATTAATTTTCACTGTTACGCGGATGACTTCCAGCTTTATTTATCCAGTATACCCACTTCCTCCATTTCCCCCCCTTGTCCCTTACTAACTGCTTACTTGAAATTAAAGACTGGTTCATCTCAAACTTCCTGAAACTAAACAGTGATAAAACCGAACTCCTCCTCGTCACCACCAAATTCACCCTATCCAAAATCAGTAGTTTCTCACTCCTTGGTCTCCCCCTCCTCTCACGTCAAAAGTCTAGGTGTCATCCTCGACTCCTTCCTATCCTTTCAGTCACACATAAATAAAATTACCCGGTCTGCATACTTCCACCTTCGCAACATTAACCGCCTCCGTTCCTCCCTTACCACACACACTGCCTCTGTCCTTATGCACAGACTCATCACCTCCCGTCTTGATTATTGTATTTCTCTTCTTTTTGCCCTTCCTCATAAATCCCTCCATAAAATCCAACTTCTTAAGAACTCAGCAGCTCGTGTCATCACCAGAACCCCCTCTTTCCATCATATTACATCTGTTCTTCAGCAACTCCATTGGCTCCAAGTTCAATTTAGAATACAATTCAAAATCCTTCTTTGCACTTTCAAAGCTTTCCATAACCTTGCTCCTCCATATCTGTCAGTCCTCATTCACATCACCACCTCCTCCCGCTCCCTTAGATCCTCCTCCTCAATCCAGCTGGGGAGCAGAGCCTTGAGCCGCTCTGCTCCCCAGCTCTGGAACTCACTCCCTTCTGACCTCCACAGTATTGACTCTCTCCTTCTTCAAAACCAGTCTCAAAACTCATCTGTTCTAGCTCGCTTATTTGTAAATGCATTGCTATTGTCCCTCCCCATAATTGTTTTTATCTTCCTGTATTTGCATTTTTGTATTTTAATATTTTATGTGATCTTGAGTGTCTCGAAAGGTGCTGTTAAAAAAATATATCAATTTTATTATGCTGCTCAGCAGGAGATCCAATTTGCTGTAGGTGTTACTGAATCTGTAGTCCTTTCCTTGCTCCAGTCTGTCAATAGATGGCATAAATGCTCTCGGCAGCTTCATCAGGCAGCTAGAAAACAGTCACTTCCTCATCAATAATAGTGTCTATCTTTAGGCGACACAGCGGGCAGGTACCAAACTCCCTCAAGATCCTGGAGGTGCATTGGGTGCATAAACAGCGGTGTCCACAGGACAGTGTGGTGTCAGTTTCTCTTGCCATGCACACCACACAGCTGTTAGCTGCTAACAGAGGAGAGAAAGTAGTTAAAAACCATCAGTCAATCAATCCTCCACTTTAAAGGGGAACAGAAGCTAAATTAAGTTGGCAGGAGACATACCTGCTGGTACTTCCATGTCTAGGAAGGGGATAAAGTCAGATTTTTTACTGGGAGCTTTATAATCATGGTTGAAACTGCAAGGAGGTCTGATGAGAGGATCAGGTGCAGGGCAGGATCTTCTAGTGGAAAGCAATTCCTTTTTCTCTGAGCCTGCAGCAGGAAATAATTCATTGAATTATTTGTATTTCTAGTTCTGATATGAAAAAAAAAAACAGATTGTAAGTCAATCAAAATGTAGGTGTGTTAAAGTTACCCTGGAGGAAGATGGAAGATGTCTGACCATAGACATCGATCATGGCCCAGAGAGGCTGGTGGAGATCCACTTTTATCAGATAGTTTTTCCTCCTGCCGTTATGAGGTTTCACATGTATGTAGCCTTGAGAAGAGACCCAGAATTCCAGCACCGAGCCTTCCCCACAGCGGGACTCGTGCACAGGAATAGCCCAATGTCCCGGGGTGTCTGTGAGGTTTGGCATGGCCATGCGTGGCAGAGGCCGAGATCTTCCTGATGGAGGTACATTAGTGAAGCCCACACGGACCGCTCCCTTCCATTGTGGTGTCCGCTTCAGGATCTGCACCCGGATCCTCTCACAGGTTCTCACAGGGCGGTTGCTGAACACCAGGCCACCGTTGAAAGTGTTTTCACTTCTGTCTGCACGTCGACAGCCCTCACTCAGACGGATCTTGTGTCCCACAGCCTGAGGGTGGAAGGTCAGGGGACCGAGGCATTGTTTGCTGCAGCTGTGAGAAATCTTTGGAGCTGCTGGGTAATCAGACCACCAAAATACCTTTAGGCAAGAGAATCTAGCTGCATGCCATAGAGGAATCTAAACTTTTTGACCTTCAATACCAGAAACATGCTATTTGATTAAAACTTTGAACAGGAAAGAACAGCAGGAGCAGTTTGAAACTAAGCAGATCAATATATACTCGCTGTATTAATTACTATAGATGTGTCCTAATGAGGTTATATATTAAAATAAAAAGCACCTTTTGAGAATTCTATCTTATGTTTCAGATTTGTGAATGTTTTAAACGTTTAGAAAAATTGACAAAAAGAAAAGAGAAATTGACAAAGAAAATCTTTGTCAGGGTTTTGCTCTCTGCTTGGGTTTATTTTTAGTTTATTTGTGTCTTTCTGTGTCTTTGTAGTTTTACCAGTGCTGAGTTCTTTAGGTCTTGTGCTGCTTGCTCTCTGTTGCCCTCTTGTGTTTGTTTTCTTCTCCCTTGGTCCCTTCTTGTTAGTCTACTCACACCTGCTCCATATCTGCTAATTTGGTTTTCTTGGTTCAGTCTCCCAATATATACCCCACTTCTGAAAGTCACTGAGTGCTGGTTTGTTGTTGTGTTGCTTCCTTTGTCTCTGGCTTCCTATGTAAGTTTTCCCTAATGTTTTTGGGTTCTTTGTATTTTTGTGTTTTTCCTCAGTTGCTCCATTAAATCTGCAAAATTCACCTCTGCTTCCTGGTCTCTGCATTTCGGTCTTCAAAACCCCCCACTCAACCCTTGACACCTTGGACCTCCACTTTTACTGCCATTTTGCACCGTTATTTTGCACTGAACGTTGTTGATTGTTTCCTTATTTAATATTGTTTAAAAACAGTTCCTTCCTGCAATATGGTACATTCATATCACTGCTGCGCTTAACATTTTATCTAATTTGTTTGTATTTTTTGACATTGTCATGAGCCAAATGCAACAAAACTTAATTATGTATACACCTTATGCAAACAAAATTACAATAAGATTAGCCTCAGTCTAAGATGAGGGACTGACCAATATGGGGCCCATTTTTAAGCCAAACTTTCTTTTTCTTCCTCAATTTAAATGACAGAAGTGGCACAGTGATAATAGTTGTTACACAAGTCTCAATAAAAAGAGATTATTGTAACAAATTAAACAAAATAAGGCAAGACTTCAGAATGCCATGAATCGAGGATCAGTGCTTGTATCAGTCTACCTCTACCCTGGAAGAGGAGAATAGAATAGAAAATCCCTTTATTTTCCTTCAATGGGGAAATTGTAGTAAAAGGACGACTGCTGATGCGAAACCATGAGGTCTGTTATAAGTTTGTGGTTTCTTTACCTGCTAAGCTACCATTTTTGACTGGATGGAGGGTAGCCTCTATGTATGGTGAGCCCAGCCTGCCATCCAGACTAACTGGTTTTCAGAAGCTATACATTTTAATATAAGTCTTCACATCTGATGTTTCCCTGTCTGGACTCAAACAAAAACCTAAAGTTAGACCAAAGCAGTAGGTGGATTCGGAAAAGGGGGCGATGCTCAAAATACTTAAAATACAGTTTGGTCGTCTTCTGCTTGTGACTGTCAGAAAGTGTTCTTGACCTTTAGTAACTGTAAATATTTTTTTTCCCATGTTGTTCCATTTCCATACCACCCTATTGAGAGTTTTTTTTTTCTTTTCCATTGAAAACATCAGTTGATTTCAGGGTGCTGTTAATAAACGTATGAATCCAAAGAAAAGAATTAAAAGATAAAGTTGGTATGCAAGAAGAACTTTCAGTTTTTTTCTTGGAAAGGTTTTTTTTTTTGCACTTACTGAAATATTTGCAAGAACGTGTAATCATCTTACGGAAAAGGGGAGTTATTGAGCGTGAATGCACAGTGGATTATTTTGAATAGATAATTTGACATATGCACAAAATTTCTTATAAAAAGGTTAAATAAATCTTACCTGGTGTCTTTTTATCAACCTCTCTCCTCATCTTTAATCAGAAGTTAATTATCTTCATTATACAGGATGGGGAACATTGGTCTCTGCTGTCTCTTGCTTCTGGCTTTAAGACAGAACGCAGAGGAAAAAATTTAAGTTTATTTTTATGGCAACTTTTACAGATATTAGAATCACACAGAAGCTTACAATAAAAACATGCTGCAAATATATATACAGTCTAGTTAAAATTCTTTTTATTTAATACGTGTCATTATTTCTTTAAAAGGTCAGTGGAGTTCATGTAGCACAATGACAATGAGTTTCAGAGCTTTCCTAGGGGGAACAGTATGTCATCTATAAACAATTAATGTATTCAACAGCTTTGCCATTTACTGCCCTGAATGTTAGGACCAAAATTTTAAAATGTATCCTATATTGTACAGGAAGTCAGTGCAGAGAGGCAAGAACAGAAATAATGTCTCAAGCAGATTTAAAGCTTATTCACTCAAACTGGTAAGAATAACCATTAAAGCAGTCTAAACGAGACAAGACAAAGGCATTAACAATCATTTATTATTCAAGTTTTATCATTTGAAAATTTGAGCCAGTTTTCTAGAATAATGTTCAAAGGATAAAGAAACATGGAAAATGACACCCAGGAGGAGGCTTAAAAAAGATGGGACCAGAGACGTAAGTTGTTGCCTGATAATAGTCAATAATCAAGGTCTACTTTTTTCACATTTACAGTAGTTGTTTAATTTCTGTCAAACAGTTGCTGAGTTCAGATAGTTAATGAGTCTTAGGGATTCTATTAAATCTCTATATCTTATCAGCATACAGATAAAAAAAAAAAAAACATTCTTGTAGTACTTCAAGATCCGACACAATGAAAAATGTATAGTGAAAATAGAATAGGCCCTAACAGAGATCCTTCAGGTACCCCAACAACACAAATCATTATGTCAGGGTTTGTTTGTGGATTGTGGACCCAAAAGCAGAGGCAGGCAGGCAGGCAGAGGTGAATTTTTAGTTGATTTAATGAAGAGAACTAAAACACAAAGTCCAAAACCACAGGCAACAGGAATCCAAAAACCAAATGAAAACAAAGTCCAAAAACAAACGATAAACCAGGAGTCCAAAAATTCAAAGATCTTAAAGAAAAGAAAACACAAGTCAAAACTTTACAAAAAACCTAGGAGTCATCAGGGAAAGAACTGTAACCAGGAAGAAGGCTGATGAGGTTAGACGAGGACCCAGCAAAGAAGAACAGAACAGAGAGTATTTGTGGGAGACTGAAACAAAGAGAGGGTTAACGAGCAGATTAGGAGCAGGTGTGAGCAGAGCAGAAACAAGGAGCAAGAGAAAAAAAGGAGAATTCAAGAGGGCAGCAGAGGCCAACAAATAAAAACCTGAGAACTGCAAATAACCAGAAAGAACAAAATAAGAATTAAACCACTAAGACTATAAAACAGGAGTGAAGCAAAACTGAACACTCAAAAGAAAAACATAACAGAGCCAAGACTGATACAGTATCTAAGAGTAAACCAGAAAACACGAAAAAATAAAAAATAAAACCTCTAATACTAGAAAACAAGGAGTAAAGCAAAACTGAACACTAAAAAGAAAATAGAACAGAACCAAGACTGAAACAGTAACGGAGAAAACCCCAAGGAACACAACAAAATAAGCAATAAAACCATAAAAACCTTTAAAACAAAGAGCAAAGCAAAACTGAATATCAAAAGAAAAACATAACAGAAACAGAAACCTAACACATTAGTCATAAAGAAATGGAAACTTTAAAAGACTAATTTTATAAAGGGCCTTTCTGAGAGGCCTAGGTCACTTGTAATATAAGTTAGGTGAAAACGAGAGAGTCCATATGATACACGTAGAGTCAATTCTAAAAAAAAAATCTGTTCTAACATGCCAACTACAACAAATGTCATTATCTTGGAGCTGATGACTGGTTTAATTATTCATTTTATTCCCCTGTCTAACTCTGCCCGGTTTCTAATCACTTCTCATCTGATCCACCTGCTCCTGCCTCTATTTAAGGCGCTTGCGTCCAGTTATTAGTGCCAGATTAATCTCATTCTCTCAAGCTAGTGGTAAGAGGGTTTTTAGCGTTCCTTAGCATTTCTGGTTTCCTAATCCTGACCTGCTCTGCCTCTCAACCCCTGAGCCTGTTTTTTCCCCATCTGATTTCAGTTGTGAGAGGGTTTTTAGTGTTCCTGAGTGTTTTTGATCACCTGATCCAGACATTTTCTGCCTCTCAACCACTGAGCCTGCCTTTTCCAGTCTGAATGGGCTGCTTTGGACTCCTGGACCTCTGAGCCTTCCTGTCCTGATCTGTTTGCCTGACTTTGCTTTGAATGCCTGCTTGCTCTCCGTTCTCCGGGGCTGCAGCATCTGGGACACACAGGGCGGCGCCCGCCGCATCTTGTTGGCAGGCACCAGCTGGATCCTACCTTATTCCCTGGGCATGGACTGAGCTTGTAAACCAGGTTAGTGACTCACGTTCATAATATTCCTCCATTAGATTTATGTGGTCACTAACCTCTGTTTCCTTTTACAGATAGACGCCCTAGCCGCTGCAGCTGCTGAAGTGCAGAATCCGTGTTTAAATAAACGCAAGCACTGAATTAGTGGACTTCGCTTGTTTTTTGAAACCATCAGTGATATGGGAGCGCATAGAGTGATAGATCGATAGGGAGAGAGCTGTGTGAAAGAAGCCAACGTCTCCTGATGTAAATTTCTCTCAACGTCTCAGTCATCTCTTAATCCATCAATCTCTCTGAGTTAGCTTTGATGACGATGCCAGCAGGAAAGTTTTCTTTTAGCAAGGTCTTCCTCTACAGTGAAGGATGACTTCTCATTCCCTGTGGTGCGAACATTCACTGTACGTTCTCCCGTTTTATCCACAGTACGGTTAAGAGGAATATCAAAGGTCAGTGGAACCTGGTGGAACCTTGATGATGTGCTCCAGCCGGATCTTTTTTTCAATGATCTTGTTTTTCCAGTATGCTTGGAAAGAGGACAGCTTTTCTTGGTAGTCTTTTGCCAGTTGCTGCTAAACAGTAGTTTGTGTGTGGATGGAGAGATTAATTCTTTTCATCAACCAAAAGCACCAATAAGGACTGCCTCTAAAGTCATTGATTTTGAGTTTGCGTGCTAACGCTGTTGTCTTAATTCGAATAGTGACTGTTGAGACACTTCTACTCGCTGCTCTCTGTTCAAAAACACGCTGTACAAGTTGGTCCTCTTACTGTATCCATCTTGCTTTGTTCCCTCGGAAAATCTGTTTTAGTCTCCTTTACTTGTCGCAGGGTATCTTCTTGCTTCCTCCGGTTCCACACCAGTAATTCATTAATGTTTAGTTCTGGAGCTGCTGCTCTATTCCCATGTTTCACTGCGTTATGGATCGCATTGAGTTTAAATCTGCCTCATGCTTTTTCTTCTACGGGAGAAAATGGAGTCCGTGGCTGCTCCCTGTAGTTGCAAGACCTGTTGAAGCTTAATCTTTATCCACCGGATAGGTGCACCGGATTATAAGGCAAACTGTTGGTTTTTGAGAAAACTGAAGGCTTTTAGGTGCGCCTTGTAGTGCAGAAAATACAGAATGTTCCTTAATGTTTATCAAATGTTTGAATCCCAAGAGGAAAAGCTGATGATTTCCCACCAACCCAGAACTGGGTATAAAATGGGTGCAATGTTTAATAAGAAAATGTCCTCCGACATGTTTATATTTGATCACTGCTGCGCTTTAAGAAATGGAAATGTCGTGAGAGCTGTTCAAAATGGAATTTCGTTTTGGATACACTGTGTATATGACAATTAAGTTTGTCTAAGTCTAGGTAATAAGTTACTAAAGCTTTTTTATTCCACCTTGGTAGGCAGAACTTTATTGAACCCCTCCTGTCCAACAAGCTGAAAAACAAAAGTTTCCAAAATGGAGATTTTCAAACGTGCTTAATGAGTCACTTGCTCTTTCTCATCTCAGCAATAAAGTAAAGAACCCTGGAGTCATCTTTGACCAGGAAATGATTTTTGAATCCCTTATTTAAAAAGTTTATGGGACTTTTTTGTTTCACCTCTTCAGTGTTACCAAAGTTAGCCTGTCCAAGCGTGATTCCCAGAAACACATTATTGCCGTCTGTCATTATTTACATTAAGTGACGTGACGGTTAACATGCTTTGCTTCCTGGTTGCTGACTTCAGTTTCCATCCAGGCTAATTAAGATACTTTATTCTGTACTTGAACATCAAATGAAAACTACAAAGTAATGTTACACAACATTACATTAGAGCCAAATAAATATAACTGAACAAAAGAAATAATTTGGTGACTTTTTCTTATTATATTTTAAATCCTATTTCAGCTTAGACATGCTGAGAGGAATCTGAGTAATCCAGGAAATGGTAACATTTTAAAAAGCTAGACGTAATCTTAATATAGTGAAAACCTATAAGTTCCATTCAGTTTGGGTTTCTTTCCTTTGTTTATATCGTGAATGGTCAACAATAACATTTCTCTCCAGAATTACTCAAAGCGAACCAAGCTAAACTAGTCGTAAACCATTTTGAGAACCATGGTACTAGAAGAGTTGGTTGGCGCACTTGACCTGCAAACCAATCATGTAACCTCTAATATTTCTATGTTTTGATCCAGAAGTCCTCACTTACCCTCTCGGTAAAAGGAAAAGACAGCAGCTGAGACAGAGGCAGTAGCAAAAGACCTCCTTTTAAACTGAGTAATTAAATCTAATTTAACCAGAGAAATGTCTGAAAAGTTTATCTGTTAATTCCCGCTTCCATGATTTGTTCTCAATCATATCGAGTGTCCTTGGCTTTGGACTCTGACGTAAATATTTAACAGGTAGACTGTGAGTGCAGAGACCGAAGGTCAAATCGCGGTGAATTCCTCTGGAGTTCACCCATACCTCGTGTAATTCCACTGTTTGCAGACACACTATTAATAGAACCAGTCAATATTTACAGATGAAAAACACTTTAGTGACATAGAATATATTCACAATTTGTTAAAAAATATATATACATAGAGCAAAGTTTCCATAAGTAATCCTGAATTACACAAGACTTCTTTAAAAAAACATTTTGCAAACAAAAAAACAAAAAAATCTGTGCTACAGGCATCTTTTCCAGAAAAATCATGGGAGCAAATGCATTTGGTTAAAATGTAGGATTTAATTTTGCCTTATTGGTTTTGTGATGGACATTCAGATCTTAAGCTGTGCTGCACTGCAGCTCAGTGGTTTCTAAATGAACTGCATGAATTACAGATATTTACTTAGAGAGAAAGAAAGATGTCGCTAAAGTTCTAGCTATATGATCAGTCTGTGAGTATTTGTCTGACTACGTTTAACTAAATAGAATTAAATGCATTAAGATTAGATTAAATCAAATTGAAGAAAAAAATTGTATATTATATTTAGTAATGAATGTTACAAAACTATAACATGTATGATTGAACCATAATAAAAAATATTAGACAGCAAAAAAAAATCATATCAAAAAATAAACTTTTATTATATTAATGTGGTGTATATGTTCACACGCTTAACCTGCTTTAGTCAATTAAAGTATTTGTTTACTTTTACCTGACTTTTTCTCTACTACATACCTGCAGTTCAATGATAGTTGCCATTTTATTTACATAAAAAGAGACTATTAATGCTTAAGTAATAAAATCTAAAAATCTAAAATCTGAATTAATCTAAAAAAAAAATTACTCTATATGTGAACTGCACACCTTTGTTTTTCCCACACAGCTTTACAGGATATCCCCGCCCCTATTTGTGATTTATTAAAGTTTAGAGGGATTTATGATGGAAGGGTTTTGTTACAGAGGCTGTTATCTTAATATGCTATCCATGATACACATGACAAATTTTCATTACTCATTTACTCACAAAGTGAGACCACGTTTAATAATGTACACACTATTCTGATATAGATAGAATATAAGGATGTTTAAGTTGATTCATGATGCCAACTGGTTGAAAGTTATCTAAGAATCCCCATTGAATTACACCCAGTATAAATCCAGCCTGTGAAGACCTCCAGCAGGAACACACTCCAGTGGAGCAGCTGTCTACTGCAAATGAGTGGAAATTTGAGAAGAGAGAAAAGCATTGAAAACCATTAGAGCAATGTCTGTAAGGAATAAAAACTGAGGATATAAATTCAATGGAAGCTGTAGTTTGGTTAGGGGCCCCATCTTGGAGAAAAAATATTTTAACAGAGAATCACTGGGCCAGTAAATCTATGGCATGAAAAGCAAATAATCACAGCAATAGCTCCTTTAAGGTCTCAGTGGAGGAATGAGATGGCATGGCATATGCAATGACATGTTGATGAAACCTACGCAGGACTCATTGCTCTGCTTCTTCAAACAGATCTAGTGGTTAAAAACAAGATAATGAAGCTCACATGGGAAGGAGCCAAAGGAAGCCAATGTGACACAGTTTCTCTGAGGCAAATCAAAGCACTATTACAACTTTATGAGGATATAAACAGGTCATGCTGATAAGAATTAAACCAAATCAAAATCTGTTATAAAAATCTATAACCTGACTGACAACTGTAAGCAGATTTCCGGTTTTCAATCATAAACGTAATCGATCCCTAGTTCATCATACAATTAAGGACAGTATACAACATTATTAGTTTTACAACCACAAATAAATCTATAGAGAGACAATAATGAAAGTAGAAATCCTATATCCTGGTGGTTTGACCTTTCTTCAGACAGGTTAATAATTGCCATTTGTTTGGATTTGATAACTTCCATCCATAGTAGATTTAGGGCAGCAGCCAATTTCCATAAACCATAAAGTTAAAGGGAGCACATTTGGAGAAACCTTTAACTATGCAATCTGATGTTGTAAATAGATGAATGCTAGATAACATGCTGATTTTTAAGAGCTTACAAAAAACTTAAAGAATCAAAAAACCAAATAAGTTCCCAGTCTCACAGCACACATGATCACCTCTGCTACAGAATACTGCAGGAAAACCTGATATTATATAATTTCAAATTTCCCCTATAGACACTTGAGTCACCTCACTGTGCTGGAAATAGTTTCTGAATTTTCCTTGAACTTCACCCTAATCCTCCCTGTTGTGGTGTTGCAGAAAAGTACACAGTTACTGTAACTGTGTGAGTGTAAATCAGAATGTTGTTCCATCATTAGGCTGCAACTCACAGATGTTGAAGAAAAAGAGATTTAATGCATGAATGACAATCTTTTATAATCCTATATTAGAGGTACAGTATGTGAAATAAACCTGCAGTAGGGAAGTTCATGGTCCTCAATGTTTTGGGGTTTTTCAGCTCCTGACCATGGATTGAATGGAGCAGACCTGGACTGTAAAAAAGAGACTATTAAATCCAGTAGACATGTTTTGTTTATTTTTACTGTCTTTGTATGTCTGTCAGAGAAAAAGGTGGATTTTCAAATGCTAGATGCAGTGACAGGGTAGCTAAGGATGTTTTAGTGAACTGACTGCAGAGGAAACCTGCTTTCTGACAGAACAAAAGGACAAAGATAACAAAGGATGAGTTCTGCTGAATCTTGGTCTGTGTTCCTAAATTCTACTGTCATTTTTACATTGAGATTATGAATGACTGATTTATTTTTGTGTCTGAATTCAGAAGAACATAATTCAGGTCATGAAAAATAAAAACCCTGCCTAGTTTCCTTCATCCTGTTCCCTAATCAGCTGATTAACCCCCAGTCTGTGGCTCCATCCAAATCTATCCCCTACGTCTTGCTCTTGCCACAGGTGTAATCGACACTCAATTTATCAAAACAGCTCACAGAGGGTTGAACAGCAGGTGTATTCAGATTTATTTTTAATTTTTAGCACACATAAAGCCAATCAGTAGCCAGTCAATCGTTTATAAAATATTAAGCTGTGGGTTAAAAAGAAGCCCTGATTGTTCTTACAAACACATTTAAATGCTGATGCAGATCATTTCTTGTAATATCAGCAACATCTTGGCTTCAAGCTTCAACACCTCCTCAGCATCCTCAGTTAGTTAACACCAATTTTGTTAATTATTGGCTTTGCAGCCATTATGACTCTTGTTTTAATACATAATATCTGCAGCTGAACCTATGCTGGGGCTCCAGATCTGAATACCTCTAAAGCCTAGGTTTAAAATTATTGTTGTCATAAGGTTTAGTCATCAATGTTTTTCAAACACATTAAAAAATGCTGTGGAAATGGAGAGAAAGAACAACAGCTTCTTCTGTTAAATGTATAAATGGGCTCTGTTAAAGCATATTCCCCATTTTGAGGTAAAATAAACACTGTTTGTTTGTTTCCTCAATGTTACTGAAGAAATCTTTGTGGCACATTATTTTAACCAGACTGGATTAATATTTGTAATCACTTATGCACATATATCATGCATACATGAGCTTAAAGGGAACTTTACTACTAGCAGGCTGGCATGAAGGGATCATTTGTCCTGAATGATGACAAATCACAAAATAGGTAAAAAAAAATATTACAGAAAACACTGAATCCACCGAAGGGAAGAAAAGGAGAGTAGTTGTGGGAAAATCTTTTTGATCCAATAACAGACTTTTTTCATCTTTGCTGTTGTTCTGTTCCCATGCTCATTACTGTTATTATTGACAGCAATGAATGATTATATTTGGGTTTTATTTAATTAATATATGTACTCTTTTTTTATTACTCTTTTATTTTATCTTGTTTTGTTATTACTGATTACAGTATCTTTTTTAATTCACTCAGAAACTGTGTTCATCACCTCTATTCAACAATTATTTTTTGTTAATTCATTATTGTTTGCTGTTAACGATTACCTCCTATATTCTTCTTATGTATTCGTAGGGGTTCTGTTAACACCTATGATGACTGAGCAGGTTAATTCAACGGTAAATTTGCGTGTTTTCTGTTTGCATCTTAAAAGCTTCAATCGGCCCAGCTTATTTCCCCCGCCATTCATTTATTTAAATGGTGAGGGAATTAACTCAGCACCGATGCAGGACTTGTTTGATGTTTAAAGGAGCATTATCATTGGAAATAAGATGCATTAAAAATCAGTTTAGTTTGTCAGACAATATGTTGAAAGAGGAAAACCATAATACCCATTTGTGGAATGGAATGTGTTTAATTTTTGTGACCACAATGTGCGATAATAAACAAAAAACATCACATATCAATAATCTATTTAGTATATAAATAACAATAAAAAGAGGCATGTATGTATATACAGATGTGTACAAATATACATTATTTACATCCATATAAGTTTGGCTTATGCAGCAGAATACATTCACTAGATGCTGTGTTAGGTTGTACAGAGTCTCAGTAGTTTGCGTTGGATGCTTCCACAGAGCTCTGCATGCTCCAAAGAGTCAGGAGTCAATGAATATGGGAGTGTTGATCATTGTTCTACAGAGTGGGCAGCTACCAAACTCCTTCAGGATCCTGGTGCTGCAGTGAGGGCACAGACAGCGGTGCCCACAGGGCAGCGTGATGTTAGCCTCTTCTATCATGCACACCACACAGTTGTAATCTGTGACCAAGAGGAAAAAAGACAACAATAAAACATTAGCCTGAATCCATCATCCACTTTAAGGGATGAAAAAACAATAAAAAACAAGAGCATTGCACATACCTGCTGGATTTTTCTTGTTTAGGTCTGACACAGCATCAGAGGTTGTAGCGGGAGATTTATGATCTGGGTTGAAACTAGGAGGTCTGATGAGAGGATCAGGTACAGGACAGGATCTTCTAGTGAGAAGCAATTCCTTTTTCTCTGAGCCTGCAGCAGGAAATAATTCAGAGAAT